TATGGAATGGATTAGAATAATTCCTTTTAAAAGTTACACTCCAATATCCCATTTTAGTATGGAATGGATTAGAATAATTCCTTTTAAAAGTTACACTCCAATATCCCATTTTAGTCAGAATGGATTAGAATAATTGGTTTTAAAAGTTACACTCCAATATCCCATTTTAGTCGGAATGGATTAGAATAATTCCTTTTAAAAGTTACACTCCAATATCCCATTTTAGTCGGAATGGATTAGAATAATTCCTTTTAAAAGCTTACACTCCAATATCCCATTTTAGTCAGAATGGATTAGAATAATTGGTTTTAAAAGTTACACTCCAATATCCCATTTTAGTCGGAATGGATTAGAATAATTCCTTTTAAAACTTATACTCCAATATCTCAAACATTAAATTAATTTTAGGAGTGATTTGTTTGCTTGTTCTTTAGATCAAAGCCACATTGGGCTATCTGCTGTGTCCACCAATCGAATCCAGGATTTTAACGTTGTATATCCGTAGGCGTACCACTGTCCCACCGGGGATTTTTAGAAGTGAATAAACTCTACGCCCTAACAACAGGAATTTATTCATCTTATTTCAATATTTCCGAGCAAGGTAATTAGGAGGCTGATGTAAAAATCCTCTTAAAAATAACTAATATTACAAATAATTTGAAAAATATTAGTCTAACTTGGGTGAGCAAAATCAAAATATTAACGTTCATTGGCGAAAATATATTAATATTTTAAATACGGAATATTCTAGTGATCTATTAACTACAGTCTAATGTCTCGATCTAATTCTAATTTACACACAGAAGAAATTAAACAGAGGCTATTACGATACAGAAATTCAAATATTATACATTTAGGTAATTTTTTACGAAAATTTTATTTCCCTGTCTCAGCTTCATCTATTTTGATCCAAATTCAAAGTGGATCCTGTAGAAATAACACTATTTACTGATCGACTGACCGACTACATCACTAAACGTTAGGGTTCACAAAAGCTTACCTGTATCATGTCGATGCTCTAATTCCACACGACGCCACCAGACTGCAGGAGTATGTCTCCTACTCCCCTTTTCTAACCACCAGTCGGACCAGGCATGACCTTCGCGTCGCTGTTTTAATTGTGATTTCCCGTTAACCTGCCGAAGGACACGTGCGAAAAGGAAGAAAAATAAAAAATGTCGCTCATCCCGAAACCAGTTCAGCCTCGGGTGTGGATTATATATGCAGGAACTAAGTCGCCTTGAGTCTGAGAGAGGCGGTTAAAAACTGTCAGTGATGATAACGGGCTTATAGTTTATAAAAGTTTTATGCGAGAAAAATGATACTTTTGTTTTCCAGACAACATTCACCATTGTTTACCTGTCACTAGTGCCCCAGATTGCCCCAGAACTAGGCTAATATGATCATTTCTATCGCTCTTTGCATTCTTCGTAACATCGGCCATTTTGGAAGAAAAAGAAAAGAGATTTATTTGGGGCAAGATTAAAAGTTATAAATATTCTCCCCGATAAGAAGAGAAATAATTAAATTCACGATTTATCACCACAATGTAACGAATCACTGCTATTCTTTGAAATGTTTGGACCGAATAACTTTAAAAAAGAAATGTGGTAATCGATAACTGATCAGATCAATACTTAAATGAAAAGTTTATTACAAGACTGTAACTAGATAGATCCAGGGACAAATCCCCCCCCACCTTCATTGTTTATTACAAGACTGTAAGTAGATAGATCCAGGGACAAATCCCCCCCCACCTTCATTGTTTATTACAAGACTGTAAGTAGATA